ACTTTTTAAATGAAAAAAATAAATTATCTTTAATATATATGAATAAACCTTAATTCTTGAAAGTGGAAAGAAAAATAGTTAAAATTTTGTATAAGTGAAATGTGTAAGAGTTGCATGTAAATAAATTCTTCCTTTATATATATATTACGACTTTTTAGATAAGAAAAGATAATTATATTTAATAAATGTGAATAAATCTGAATTATTAAAATGAGAAAGATAAATAGTTAAAATTTTGTATAAGTATGATATATAAAAATCATGTAAAAGAATGTTGTCGAGTGGATCAGACTTCTTTTAACTATTAATGCAAGGGTGAGCCTAGCATTAAGGATAGTTCCTCCATCAATGTGTGTATTTGAGGTCCGGTTGAAAGGAAAAATAAAGGATGAGGCATCTTAGGGTGAGTTTGGATTGTAGGAGTTGGAGAGGAAGGCGAGGAGAGTGAGGGGAATATCTCTGCTCTTTGTTTGGACAAACTAATTAAAGGAAAGCAAAAGAGGGGTATGAAATTCCTTCAAATCCTTTATTTCTAATCTAAAATTCCCTCCTTTTTGGGGAAATATGTAGGGGTTTGATTTTTTTTATTTTTACTTTTTTTTTAATAAAAAAATGTACTAAAATTTTTATTTTAACTTTTAAAAATTGAATAAAATAAGACTTCCTAGCAATTAAGATGTTAAAAATAATAATAATAAAATTGAAATACTCTTAATAAATCAATAAATATAAAAAATTCACTAAGGATATTCGGAACAATTTTATGAAGAGTCTTAACATATAAAGTGTCAAGTTGTTTAGATCTCCACTTTTCTCTTAACTTTTATTTCAATAAATTAAATTAGAGAAGAGAAAATTAGGATGTCTTGGTATTAAAAATATTAAAGACATGTAATAATAATCATATAATGAATTTGATAAAATTAGACTTCACATTATACCCTATATATTTAATGACGTTTTAACATTTTTAATGTAAGGATATTTTGATTTTTTATTTTCTCAAATAAAAATTATAAAATATTATTTAATTTTATAGTAAATTTTGTCTAATTTAATTAATTAAATAAAAAATAT